TCTATCTATCTATCTATCTATCTATCTATCTATCTATCTATCTATCTATCTATCTATCTACCTATTATACACATGCTATAAGAGGGCCCCAGAATGTCATTATAGACAGTTGTGAGCCACCATGTGGTTGCTGGGATTTAAACTCAGGTCCTCTGGAAGAACAGCCAGTGTTCTTAACCTCGGAGCCATCTCTCCAGCCCCGAACAGGTTTCTTTTATACAACTCAGGTGGCCTTGGATTGAAGGGGGCAGTAAGATGGACAAGGGCGTGGTGTACTGACCTGGCTGCCACAGATGTCCCCCTCCCATGTCTCCTCTGGTCTACCTTCCTGATCATCTGAGGATTCTGGGAAGCAGTGTGAGGATTTCCCTTGGTTGCGGGTCTTGGGTATCTTGATACCAAGAGGCAATTCCTTGTCACCACAATACTGTGCCTGAACTCTCCCGGTCCTCCTGGCTGCTGCTCTAGATCTCCACCTGGCTACCCTCACCGCCTCCAGCACCTTCTTCCTGAAGCTGCCCTGTCCACCCTCCCCTGTCCTGCTGCACAGTTCTGATCCCTGCAACCCGCTCCACTTTCTTCTTTTTCCTCAGAGCACATATTTTCTGTCCAGAAAGTGCGTTCCTGAGGGCAAGGACCCAAGTGCTCAGACTCCTGTCTGACACGGGTCAAGTGATGCTAATTCTCAGATATGTGGAATGTGTGCATGGTGATCCCAACTTCTCAAGCTCTCCCACTTAGCAGGAGGTGTGGGCACCAGGCCTTCCCACCATTCTGCCTGGTCTCTGAGTGTGCAATGCTGTGCTGAGAATCTCCTAGCACAGTGGTCAGGAACAGAACCAGAACCCGGGTGGAGGTGACCGTGTAGCAGGAGGGCTGACAAACTGTTGAGCTCCCACATAGAGAAAGTCTGGGAACTGGGTCTTCAGTTCTGCCCCAGTGCTCTCGGCTTCCCCTCCTTCCTCATCTGACTGAGACACTTCATTCTCCCTGAGCTGGTCCAACGTCTCATCGCATCACCATCCATGTTTGTGATGTTTCTGTTGTGAGTCTTAACCTTTAACAGCTGAGCTCGCTCTCCAGTCCCCAGCATCCATTTTCTCGTCTCTCCCAGCCTTATTTCCTGTGTCTTCACTAAAACTGTTGACGGACACGTCATAGAGTTCAAAGACAGGGATTGCAGGCCTCCACCTTGCTGGTTGTTGTCCTCAACAAGGCTTGGGTCTGCCACTACTGTGGCTGCCATGCTATGAGACCTTTAACCCTCTGAGGGTCCTGATGGTAACCACACCGTAGAGGTAGAAATAGGGTTCAGTTTTGAAGGAAATCACAAGTGATTGCAATCTTTATTTACAGACACCAGAGATAAAAACAGTTTGAGTAAATAGTTCTCTTCTTCCCAACAATCAAACAAACAAGCAAGCAAAAAACCCTGAAGTATATCGGGAGGTCTTACTATAAAACACGGCTGGTTTTCTTTTCCTGAGCAAATTAGGCCTCGAATACAGTTCTCAGGATTGTCTGGCTATGTGAAGCTTTTCAGGCTCCTGTCCCTGCCTCCCTGAAGTTCCGTGGAATCTCTAGACCTCCGCTCAGCTCTTTGAATCCCCTTTCCTGGGCTCCCTGAAGCGCCTCCTCCAAGGCTCACTGAGACTTCCATGCCCCCAAGGTTTCCCTTCTCCAATTTCTCCAATTCTCCAATTTCTTATTTCCATAACCCTGTTGTCTGTTGCCTCTCCCAGGTCTCTATACTGGAATGTTCTAGAATTGTGTCCAGCATCAGTATCAAACTGACCAGCTCAAATTTGCCTTCTATTCTCTTTTTGTGAAAAAAAAAAGAGAATTTTTTTTCTTGTTTCTGGGTTTGAGTTCAATCCCATTCCCCTCTATGATGCGTCCGTATATCGTGTGTTGATTGGCTAGACACTTTCACATGCCCTATTGTCTTTATGTACCATGGCTATTGTAATGTCAACACTGTCACCTCCCCTCAAGCATCTAAGGATCAGAGAAATCAAATGACTCCATCAAGGTTAAACAAGTAACAGGTGGTCACACTGGGGGAGGACCCAGGTCTACTGTGGCCGAGTAGTATTACCAGTCATCATGGGAACAGAGGATAAATTCTTTGGAGAAGGACACTTCTTAGGAACTCTTGCTAGGGTTTCTTTTTCCCTTGGCACTGGTTTCAGTTATCACATGTCTGATTTCACATGCCCTAGCTAAACAACAATCCACCTTGATAAAGTTCAAGACGGTGAGAGCAGGGGAGGCAGGAATAGTAGCTCCCTGTCTTTTAACTGAACACAAATTATGTTTCTATAACAGAACAAGGTATCTACTTTATTGTTCTTCTTCACTTAAAAATTTACATCCATCCGATAATGAGGAAGGAAAAAAAAAAAAGCCCAGGCTTTCAGAAGTTGTGTTGACCTGCATAGACCACAGCTGTGAAGGAACACATCTGGGATTCTGTTCTAGCTGTGTCCAGTCCCGAGGTCTGGATAAAGCCTTCAATTTAGGAGTAGATGAGCTCTTAGGGACAGCAGTGTTGCTAAGACCTCTGTATTGACACAGTAGGGGAGAGGGAAGCTCATAAGACTCAGGAAGCTCACTAAACTTACAAGCTCCAGGATGCTCAGAAAGTTACAAGTCTCAGAAGGACTCTCCCTATACAAGCAACAGTGGTCTCTGAAGATGACTCTTTGGGGGATCCACCTGCAAGGTGGGATGAAGCTTTTGGGAGTCATCACCCACACTAGGTGGTCTTTCCTAGTGACAAAGCTGCCTTTTGGTCACCACGATGCTGCAAGTAAGTCTTTGTTCATCCTTTTGTGAGTAATCCCAATACATTCATTGGTGGAGCAGTTTCCTGATCTGATACCAATGCCCTATCTAGAATAGTGGACGTTTGTTCGAGCCTCCCCAGGAAAAGTCACACAACAGCGGTTCCTTCACTTATCTGAAGGCTTGCATGGCAAGTGTGTAAAAGAGCAGACAAATAATGTAGACAGAATTCCTACTTGCTTAAACGAAACTCATTTGCATAAAAACATATCTTCAGTTAGAGGTTGGCTAGACTAATTTTCGAGAGTCCCTTAGAAAGCCTCCTAATTAACCTTTGCAGACTTTCCAAGGTATTAGTAACAAAGCAGGGGCATTAGTTATGTTACAACAGGTGGCACACTCAACTTGAGACTTCTTTCTTTTGGACTGGGGTAGGATTGGATTTTGGGTGTGCACCCTGTCCACACCACCAGAGTGCTGAGATGCCAAAGCTGAAACAGGGCCCGGCAGACATATGGCTCCTTACAAGTGATAGCCAGGGTTGGAAAGAGAACTACACATCCTGGCTGGGCTCCAATCCAAATGTGTAATTTTGAACAAATTCCCTGCTTTTGCCACACATGACTCTACACTTTTTCCTCCTTCATGATTTTATAGATTAGCCATGCGTCTCAGACTAGCTCCTCTGGTCTGAAGCCCCTGTGGCCAGCTGTGCTGTGAAATTCAAATACATCAGACACATTGTAAATGCGGAGCAACCCTAGAAAGGTCCAGGGTAGGACTCCTGAGTGGGTCTTATTTGTATTTCTGCAGCAATCATGCAAAATCTTTACAATAAATAGGATCAAAAAAGAACTTTACAGGGTCCTGTGTAGTTCAGGTTGGAATTTGCTTCCAAGTGAGCTACAGTGGGTCAAGGTCACATGGTCAGTTGATTTGCTGCCAATTCCCCCCAAAATTCAGTTTTCAGTACTTTGTGGGTATCTGAATTTGCATAAAGGATTTTAATTCCATATGAACATTTCTGTGGCTGCCTTGCTGGTGGTAACATCTAAGTATCTAACACCAAGTTCTTGATGGGGACTGCATTTTAAATGTTTCTCCATAGGGAAATAAAATCCACCTCACGAAGAAACCATTTGGACATTGCCATTTCTGGAATCCAGTGGGGCTAACACAGAGGACAATGATAATTATTCAAGACCATGGCTGTGGAGTCTGTGATTGCTAGACCAACACAAGGCAGTTATGCTCCGGGCACAGTACTCACAATGCTGGGAAGAGAGCTGTGTCCAAGCCAGGAGACTCTGTAGTGGCGGCAACTGAAAGAAAACAGCCTTCTGGTTACTTATCCAGGAAATTGGGCAGAGAACCTTGTACTTATTAGTAATACTGGGTATTACATGATTTTTCTGTACTACTATAGGATATTGTTTTAGTAGTGCATATCACTTTCTATTTATTTATTTATTTATTTATTTATTATGTATACAATATTCTGTCTGCATGTATGCCTGCAAGCCAGAAGAGGGCACCAGACCTCATCACAGATGATTGTGAGCCACCATGTGGTTGCTGGGAATTGAACTCAGGACCTTTGGAAGAGCAGGCAATGCTCTTAACGGCTGAGCCACCTCTCCAGCCTGCATACCACTTTCTTAAATTTCCATGGTGCTTTGAATGAGACTCGCCCCATAGGTTCATGTGTTTTAATGCTTGGTCCCCAGTTGGAACTGGTTAGGAAGCACAGCCTTGCTGGAGAAAGTATGTCACTGGAGGTGGTTTATGAGATTTCAGAAGACTGTGCCATTCCTAGCCAGCTCTCTGCTTCCTGCTTGCTGCTAGGGATGTGAGTTCTCAGCTGCCCCTACCACCATAATTTCACTGTGCCATCATGGACCCTAACCCTCTGGACCCCTGCTCCAGTGAGATAGTTTCTTTTATAAGTCCTTGGTCATGGTATCTCAATGCAGCAATAGAAAACTAACCAAGGCGATTCCTTTGGACAGTAGCTGTCTTTGAATGTCCAACAAGCAACGAAAACTTGGGCAGCTCTCTTGTGCACACATCCCTGTCAATATCCCTTGCTCCAAGTGGTAGAATCAATGCCCAGACATTGCAGAGAATTCATGAGAATGCCACCGCATAATTTAAGGTTCTTAGAGAAGCAGAATAGTCAACATTTGCCAGCCGTCATGGGAACTAGCGGTGTTAGGTAAATGCCATCTCCCCGGCCCCCCCCCCCCGTGATGACAAATTTTTCCAAAGATGGGTTTTGGTGATGGCTGAGGTGAAAAAGCAAGCATCATGGGAAAATCAGTATGGAAGGCTGGCAGGATTACTCAATGGTTAGAGCCCTTACTGCTCTTTCAGAGGACACAAAGTCAGTTCCCAGCACCCACATTGGGCAACCCACAGCCACCTGTCACTCCAGCTCCAGGGGATCTGGCGCCCTTTTCTGGCCTCCTTGGGTGCCCACACACATAGAAAACAGCCTCCAAATATGTGCACATCAACAGAAATAAAAATAAACCTTAAAATTTTTAGTATGGCCAGAGTGGTTAATGCCTTTAATACCATTGTTCGGGATGCAGGGAGAGGTGGATTCTGTGGGCCTGAGGTCAGCTGGTCTCACATAATGAGATTCCTTGGGGATAAATACTTTGTATGTTTGTGCATATTCATGTGTGTGGGTGCGTGTACATATATGGGATGTGTGTGTAGAGGTCAGAGGATGATCCTATTATTATTCAGGTGCCATCTGCTCACCTTGCTTTTGAGATGGAGCCTCTCACTGGCCAGGAACTGACCGAGTAAGTTAGGCTAGGTATCCATTGAGCCCCATGGACTTGCCTTTGTCTACCTCTCCCAACCCTGAGACTATGAGTACATGCCATCACGACCAGATTTTCCGTTCTTTTCAGTGTGGGTTCTGAGTATTGAACTCAAGCCTTAGTGTTTGCCCTGCAAGCATGCTACCATGCTTGCAAGCATGAGCCGACCCCTGGATATAGCTGTTCAAGAAACAGAGGCTCTTCCTTTGGTGAGAGGTAGCTGTGAACATTTCACTGAGATGGAAATAACAGTGGATATAATTCACTGTGTGCAGATGGGGAAACACAAATAATCCTTGATTGCACTCTTCCACTCTCCCAAGCCATTTTGTATGTCCTGGTCATCTTATTTCCTCTGAAATACTCAGGATCCACCCCCCCCCCACCATCCACCACCCACCAGCACCCAGCACCACCACCCATCACCCAGAACCACCCAGCACCACCACCACCACCAATCACCTACCACTCCCCATCACCCAGTACCACCCACCAACCATCATCATCACCACCACCCATCACCACAACTCATAACCACCATTCACCACTGCCCCCAGCATCACCACCACCACCACCCATCACCCACATGATCGTCCACATGATCCAGCACGCTCCTGTTTTCTACAGTGTACTTTTCTACACTGGCCTCTCTGCTTCAGCTCCTGTACTCCACAAATCAGACACGGACTTTAAAAATGAAAGTTAGGTCATGTTGCTCTCTCACTTCAAATCTCTCCCATGGCTTCCACTTCCAAGGCCGGCCAAGGTTGGTCTTGATCCTTGGTACCTGCTTTCCTGGAAGCCCTTTCCCCTCTCCTGCAAGCTGTTTCCACATTAGGTCTCTGCTCTTCCTCCACTGCCTGGAAACGTTTTTAATCTCCTTAAAGATCTGCACATGCTTGGCTCAGCCCAGATGTATCTTCGCAGTGAGGCCTTCCCTCAGCAGCTGATCCGAAGCTGGATCATCTCCTCCTAGTCCCTGCGCATCTCATCATGTTTTATTTTCTTCAAGACGTGCATACACCACTCTGAAGTGTTGTGTTTATGGACCCACATGGTCCGGAATACAAGCCTTGCTTTCTTGGTTGCCATTGTCACTTGCCATCATTTAAACAGGGCCTGGAACAAGGTAGGCGGTGACAAGAACTGGTCCGAAAGAACAGGGAGGATTTATCTCGGGTGGTTGTTGTTTGGGTCACTTGCTGGGTGGAGGGGGAGAACCCCAAGGTGCACCAGGCAGGAGGGAGCCATGATTTCAACTTGGCTGATGGATACACATTCACATTTAGAAACAGAAGGTCATTCGGTCAAGGTCAAAGTTCCATATATTTATATCTAGCAAGACTCAGCAATTAGTGACCATGTATGAAGCCCATGCTCCTGAACAATACTCATGTTTCACCATAAACAGTTACTTTAAATTGCCCAGTCACTGACGTAGCTTTATTTTATTGTTATTCTCCATGCCAGGCAAGCTTTCTTTGCCGTTTCTTTCCCCTCCCCCACTCATTCATTCATTCATTCATTCATTTTTTTCTTAAGAAACCGTGACAAAGACTTAAAAGGAACCTTTTATACCTATGATATAAACAAGACAGCTGCTGTCCAGCCTCAGCTTGCTGATGCGCTTTTTCCAATAGCGAATCCAGGAAGGGCGCGTGGCAGAGCGGCGATAGGCACAGGTGCAGAATTATTCAGCACCTCTGGGCAACAGCAGTGGGGATTAAGCCGAGCTTTCTTTAATAAGATTAATTCCGAAATATGAAGCGCAGTTTGGCATCTCGCCAGAGATACAAGGCATTTGTATCTATATAAGATTAAAGAAGCTTTCGCACAAAGCAATTTTCTTTTTCAACATCAAAGAGCTGCTCCAGAGAGGCTTCTTGAAGGAGGCATGCGACAGCCAGCACGGTGGTGCGCACGGCTTTATGGAAAGGCAGCTTGCTCAGCTAGCAATGTGTTTTTCATTCGCCGGGACATACAGGGGCATTGTTCCCCGGATCACAAGGATTACAGAATAAGGGAAGCCATGGGTCAGGAATCAAGTCCACACACACCCCAGACAGGTGGCTCCCTGGTGATAAACACTGCATTTCCAGAGACGGAGGCTCAGTACCTGTGAGGTAGTCCTAACAAGCAATAAATAATGACCCCGCTGCTGGAAATAACCGTGACAACAAAGATCACAGCCACCATCTATGTGTCAGACTCTGTACTTAGCGAATAACAAACAGCATGGCCTTCTACCTCTCGCTATCCCCCTGGGCTTGCAGCCAGCCGCCTTGGGTCCACTCCACAGCCACACACAGCACGGGCGCTCTGCTCTGCACTGAGCTGCAGATACTTGGAGTGGCTTTTATTCTCTTCCTCTGTTCCCTTTGCCTTCCTGACCTACATTCACATTTGCCTTTTGATCCCAACACAGGTATTTCCAGGAATTGGCCTCACACTGCAGCTTAGTGGGTTTGCCTCCCCGCCCAAGCTGCTCAAAAACTTGTAAGTTGGGAGTGTATCATTCAGTATCTTAATCAGGCCCTACACAACTTGCTCCTGAAGATGAGAAGCTGCCAGGTTCCCTCCTAGCCTTTTCACCTGTCTTATTTTCCTCTTTCTTTCTACAGAAATTTCTATGCAGGTGTTTTGTATGCCAGACACTGTGTTGTGTTCTGGGACTCTACAATTACCAAAGGCACACCTGCAGGTGAACACCAAGAAAGTCACTTGCTTATTCAAATTATTATGTTTATTAAATATAAATTAAAATGCAGCGAAGTACAATTATAAAATGCATGAAAAAATAATTCTATCATGAATTGAAACCATAATATTTGCAAAAGGAGGCACTGGGGAAACCAGTGGACAGTCAACCCCAGCTCTGGCTTCTGGAGTCTGAGCCTACCTAGGAAGCGCAATCCCGACTTAGTTGAAAGCTTGCTAGAGGCTGCCCTAGGGAAGCTCCTTTATGGAAGGGGCTAGGCCGCTACTGCCCAATATCCTAGTCTTTCCTCCTCCCTTTCTCTGCCTGACTGTGGCTTCCTGAAGAGTCAAGAGCAGCTGACTTGGTTGAAGGGTCTAGGTTTGTGTGGGATGGGTAGAGAGAAACAAATCATCCTGTTGGAGGGAGGGTGGAGTCAGGAACGGGTCTTCTATAATCTGAGAGTGAGCGTTTAGTTGTCGGGAAGGCTGGTAGACTCGAGTGCAAGGAGACACTATTTAGGGTGGCTTGTGAGCTTCTGCCACGTGTGATTACCCAGGTCCCTTGTGCTGGGAATGTAGCTCACTTGGTATTTTGTTTGTTTAGCATACACAATACCCTGAGTTTGATCCCTCCAATTGCATAAAATCTGTCACACGCCTGAAGTCCCAGCACTCTGGAGGTTAGGGCCAGAAGGTCATCGTTGGTTACACAGTGAGTTTGAGACCAGCCTGGGATACATGAGACCCTGTTTTAAGAAGCTGTTCTCCTCTCAGCTCCAAGCAAAAGAGTT